TCATAATCCTGTATCCCAATTCGCCTGCTATATGACTCATCACCCAAATTCCCTCTATGCCTAGCATTGGGCTCTGCACACAATAGATTCAATAGATATTTTAGAATATTTGTTGAATGAATGAATGGTATTGCTTGACTAGTGTTTAATTGTAATGCCACTTCATAGAACTTCACAGAAGCACATAATATCAGAGGAAGAAGGGACCTTAGAAATCATTTAGTCCAAAACATACCTCCATAGGAATCCCCTATACATCATTCATGACAAATGGTCATCCAGCCTTCACTCAAAGACATGCAATGACTCATTATCTACTGAAGCAGCCAATTATATTTAGGCCCACAGCTCATCTGACTCAATAAACTAAAGTGGTCTAGTATGTCATTGCCATAAAAGAGACACTATATGAGACAAAACAAAAATCCACCAGCTCTGGGCTGACCTCTCTTCAGCTCTACTGCTGTGACATTCTTCATTATTCCTGACTCATCTCTTGGATTTGTCTATGCCCAGGAGGAACTTAATCCGCACTTGGATGATGCCCTTTTATCCAAGGAGGATTCTCTCCATCAAGCTCTGCTAATTGTTCCTCACAACCAATGCCTGGGTCCTATTCCCATGGAGAGAATCTGACACATTCCACTTTGGGTCAGTGCTAAATGTGAGTCAGATTTTCCATATATGGAGTTGAAATCTGTTGCTTCAATTTCTGCCCATTTCTCTTAGTTCAGCTCTCTGGGGTCAGACAGAATGAGGCTAATCTCTCTCCCACAAGACAGCCCTTCAAATCCTTGACAAATAGTTATCCATCCTTTTTTGCTCATTCCCTCTTTCCCTGCTCTCAGTAGAAATGAGATCATCCCACTCTCTAACATCCAGACAGTAAAATGTCTGATTTCCTGGCCAGAAAATAGGCACATAATTTCCATCTGTGATTTAGCATTTATAATGGGAGGGGGTGCTATGATTTCATTGGTCCAATGCAGGTCTCTACAACTGGAAGGGAAGGAGAAAGGGAAGAAGAAAGGATGGAATAAGCATTTAAGTGCCTACTATATGCTAGGCATTGTGCTAAGCATTTTACAAATATAATCGTATTTAAAATATGTATATATGCATGTTTGTATGTATAGTTTCAAACCAGTCATTTCACTGTGTAGAGAACTCCCAATGAGGAAACACTTTTCACCAATGCAGATCAGCAATTGCTTTTCAAATTAAATTAATGGAGTTGCTTAGGGCAGTGAGAGGTTGTTTGCCCAGGATCACAGAGACATTTTCTACCAAGATTGGGTCTTGAAATCAGGGCATCCTGCCTCTGAGTTTGGCTTTCTATCCACTCTACAATCCTGTCTCTATCATTTTGAATACTCCTGTGTAAAGATGAACATACTTTTTCTAAATTTGTCCACACTTAATATCCAGTCCCAGTGCAGGGGCTAAAGAATCACTCACGCCCTGGAGAATAATTTCAAATCACTCTTGAATATTATATTTAAACCTGCTTTCACCTTCTATGAAAGAAAAAAAAGTCCAATTTTTCTACCTTCAAAGATATTAATTCATGCAACAAGGATTCATTAAATACCAACTATATGCTAGGCACTCAGCTAGGTGTTAGAGATAAAAACACAAAAAAACAAACAGACAAACTAACTAAAAACCCAGTCCCTTCCTTGAAGGAGTATATACTCTCTATCTGGAGTGGGGGTGAGAGAATAACATAAATTTGGATGACTCAATACAAATGCATACAAGAGAAATACAGAGAAATTTAGGGAGGGCACTAGCAACTGTGGGAAAATCAGGAAAAAGACTTGTGTAAATGGCAGCACTTCAGCTGAGCCTTGAAGGAGGCTACGAATTCCATAAGGCAGATGTGAGGAGGAAGAGCATCCCAAGAATGGGAGCCAGCAAGTACAAACTCAGAGATGGGAACCACAGGACAATTTGGCTATCAAGAAAGGTATGTGGGAAAGTAAATAATGTTCAGTAAGCCCAGAAAGATAAGCTGGAGTCTGATTTTGAATAGCTCTAAATACCAAACAGAGGAGCTTGTATTTTGTGCTGGAGGTAACTGGGAGCCCCTGATGCTTCTTGAACAGGAGAGTGACAAGGTCAAATCTGTGCTTTACTAATAATGTCAATTTGGCAGCTGTCTGTAGACTGGATTGGAAGGGAAGAGGTTAACTAGACCAGGGGTTCTTAACCTGGGGTTCATGAATTTGTTTGTTTAAGTCTGATGAATGTATTTCTATATAATCAGTTTCCTCTGTAATACTATGAATTTTATTCTTTAAAAATATTATTCTATAGTAGAATCCATAGGCTTCACCACACTGCTGCAAAACAAGATTAAAGTATCCCTAGACTAGGTAGGCAGGCAGATAGATCAATTAGGAGGCTGCTGAAACAGTCAAAGCTAAAAATGGTGAAAGCTATTGGGGGAGTAGGGGGTGAGGACTGATTCAAGATTTATTGCAGAGGTAGAAGTGACAAGACTTAGAAACTAATGGGATACAGGGAGTAAGAGAAAGGAAGAACTAATGATGAACTACAAGGTTGCAGACCCCAGTGTCTGAAAGCATGTGGTACCTGCAAAAGAAATGTTAGGAAGCGGAGAGGCTTTGGGATATGACATACTAAAGCAGGACATTTCAAATCCTACCTCAGGATGACCCTGGGCTCAGAAGATCTGCCTTCTGTGTGAGACTACAAAATAGACTAAACAGTTGTAAATCAAATGAAATCTCTTCCCATTATAATTTCATTTTGACTGGAATTCAGAAACAAAAATGCTCAGTGGAATCCCTTAGCTTAGACATTACACAGTAAGTGGAGTCAGGGCAGCCATGTTGACTCTAATACAATCTATGATTAAAAAAAAAAGTCCTTCAAAGAATAGAGTGAAATCTCCTTTTAGAAACTTCCCATGCATAAGGTTCTTTGCCTGAAATGGAAATTGGTTAACTATAAAACCAGTTTATAAATCTGTTATTACCAGTATGGGGAATAGCTAATGCTACTTAATCCGATAACAATAATAATAGCTGACACTTTACGGTTTTATAAAATGCTTTATGTAAAAGATATACCCACCCAAGCAACCCAGTACACTATCAACCATCTCTTTTTTTTCCTTCAGCAAATTGAATCTCTTCAGAGGCCTGAGGGATATCTTCTGTTTTTATTAGCAATAAGCTTCGCCTTTTTCTCCTGATTATCTGAAACAGACTTAAGAAAGCATAATCATTCACATCACAGAAGGAGGTGAACTAGTAGAAACAGGATAACAGCTTGTAAAGCCCTTCCTCTATCCACTCCCAGCACTTGTCAGCAAGATTAGAGCGGTCAACCTCAGTTATTAACATGTGTGCAGGCTCCCTGGGGAGCCGCTCTAGTGCCTGTCCTCAGAGGTTT